GTTCAGTAAACAGATGATATGAAGCTGCTGCACACACAGTTTCTGGGATCAGCTGACCTGCATCCAGAACATGATTTGTACAGTATAATTGTGGGTCGAACAGCAGGGCAGGTCCCGAAAAAAAAAAAACAGTTAAGAAATTGAGAAGCTAAACGAGTTAAACCGTTTTTGAAGCGAACACAGCAGGATAAAGTATATGGACTTTGATGCGATCATCAGCCGGACATTGAGAGCAACAGACAAAGTTTTATGTCACGGGGGGAGTGCCGAGCTCGCTCGAGGTGATAGACACATGCGCTATATGCGTAACATGAAAGCTAACTACAGTTGGAAAAAAAGCGCGTACAAAACACTTAATTTGGCTTAAAATACAGACATTCTGACAAATAAGAAACTGTTTGTAACCTTACCTCAGCTTAGAAGGCAGAGGGTGTCGGTCTTCTCCGCTCAGATTCAACTATCGGAGTATGAAGCTAATGTTTACTCACAATGCTAATGCTCTCTTACTCTCTGGCGCTCAAGAGGTAGAGGATCCAAATGGCTGACTCACTGCTGCCAACTAGTGGTCAGAGGCTGAACTACAACATAAAAATGAATGGCTGGCAGGAAAGTTGACATTGTAAACCTTAATAAAAAAATCGATACGGGGCTTTAGAATATCGATACAGTATCGAGAAATGAAATATCGCGATATTTCAGTGTATCAATATTTTCTTACATCCTTATACTACAGTGCCACCTGCTGGACACTTTGAAACCCACGCCCTGTGAAAGCATCACAGCTTTGCCGATCTGAGAGTGTTAAAAGAAAAAATTCTTGTATCTGCATCGTGATCTGGAACATCACCAAAATTTAAAGGTGTGTTACTTGAGCCAGTACACACGTGGTAAAAATGTCATGGCAATCTGTCCACAAGTCTTTGAGTAATGTTGTCCACAGACAGAACGACAGAACTACAGACCGACAGACTGACAGACATACGCGACCGAAAACATTACCTCGCCCTTGGCGGAGGTAATAATTACTGAATCAGACCATCAGTTGAAATGAGATAAAAATAGAAAATAAAAGCCAGAAAGCCAAAAAATAATAAATAAAATAACATAAAAGCCAGATACCGTGCAGAAAAATACGAAATTACAAGAAAAAAACAGATTTGTTAAACTGAGTCAAACTCAGGGTGTGCAAATTGTTTCAAACTAAGTKATTAACCTAGTGTCCTAATACAGGAAATTAAAAAGATGTACAATTGCGAAAGGTTACTTACTTAACTGAAATAATAGAATATCCTTYGTTTTAGTGTTTGTCAATTTATTTTGAGCCATGTGGACTGAATAAACTAATCTTTTTTTCTTCATATTGAGCTGTTTCACATTAACTGTGGGCAGKTTGCGACACATCATGGTCTGTAACTTGTTTACAGTCTGATGCTGCTCCTCAGTGCTRGCCTGCAAAATGACGACAACAAAAGTTGGGAGGAAGTATTAAAGTCCGATTTGGGATTTCTTTGAATATGACAGAAAATAAAAAGTGCCTTGTAGTGGAAGCAGGTGATAAAATAAGTGGAATACTTCTCCAATGATTAATTAACTGAGTATCTTGACAAGCTAGCTCCTCTTACTAGTTCCTGTGAAAAACAAGCCACAGCTCAACCAGGTAGCACCAGGATCTAGACAACTATTATCACCTTCTTAAAGCAATCACCCGTCCTTTGTTGGCAAATTTGAGTTACAGGATTATTTTTGATCAAAAATCTGCTGGTTAGGACCCGAGAGTCGCCTCTCCTCCACACAGACTGGTGCAGCATGTGACTGCAGGACTTAGTGATGGCCTGGGGCCAGCAGCCAGCTCAGCCTTCATCTTCGGCTGTCCTTTAAACGCGAGGTGACATTTAGGAAGTGATACTCGGACCGCGAGCTGCCACACACGTGCAGAACATTAATGTGAAGCGTAGCACCTCCGTCCTCCCTGACTGCTCATGGTGGAACGTGAGAMACCTCGCTGCCTTTGAGGGAAGCGTTTAAAGGAAGTAAATGAGGCTGCGGGTCAAGAGACGGTCCAACGTGAAAACTCTAAGTTTCTAACCAGGCTGACTAACCAGTGACAGCGTGCGCGAAGAGACAACAGAAAGAAAACCAAACAAAAATAATAAAAACCATAAAAGGGTTCCTACAGCTTAAGGCAAGTAAAATTTAAGACTTTTTAAGACCTAATTAATGCCACTTGAAATGAAGTTCAAGACCAATTTAACAATAAACACAAATGGAAAAAACCCAGTCAGCAACAATTATTGTATTTGAGACAAATTAGTCATCATACGTACAATGTGTTAACATTTTTAAGACCRATGAAAGATTGATTTAAGGCATTTTAAGGCTAATTAAGGCCTTATTTTTMGATTGATAAATTCAATGCCTTTTAAGACTTTAAGGATCTGCAGGAACCCTGCATAAAGATGCTTGGAAATCACTGTTGTTGGGTTTAGTTTAGGAAAACATTCTTGTTTTGGGACGTTTGGTAAAACCAGAGGCAGGTATACTCGTCATCGTTGTTTTCCTCACATCAGATCGATGTCAGCACTCACTCCGTGTGTAAAACCTGTTGCACAACTATTCAATATTTAATGCATCTTTGGACTCTGTCCAATGTAATCTCAGGCTCTGAGGAAAGCTCTGCTACTCCCAATTTAAACATTAACCCTCTTCTTACAGAGGGGTCTAAAGGATGGGCAACGGACCAGCTTTGAAGGGCAAAGACACAAAGAGGCTTCTTGTTCCATCAGTGGATCTGTTCTGTTCGATGTCCAAAAGCGGCCTTTTGTTTCCTGCAAATTCCAGTAACTTTTAGTAATTTTTACTTAAAGACATCTTTAAAATTTAAAACAGGAATCAAAGAACTGTCCAAAGACCTTGCACAAAAAGATTCGTTCAGATAAAAAAAAGCTTTTACTCCAGCAGATACCTGTCAGGATATGGTGATTAAGAGCATTTTTACAGGAAGCCCTGCCCCCAGCGCTTCCTCCTACACTTGACATGCAACYAAAGGAGGTGAGTAAATTGAGGTGGTGTCAAACTGCCACATATCACGTCCACACACCCAGTTCCCGTCCATTTCTCAGCCGGTGATTTATATTACCTGTAGAAGAACCACAATGACCTTGTGAGGAAGGCTTCACCTTAACGARCCCCCGGAGGAAACTCTCACGGCTCTATTGTCTCCGACAGAAAACGCGGTGGCGAGCGGCCGAGTCAAAGCTGCCAGACACTCTCTGAGCTCTGAGGAACCATCGACTGCCTCAAAGACGAGACACTCAGCTGCTATAAACACATGAGGATCTCGGAGTTAATTAAAGCTTAGAAAATGGCAGAAGGTGAAAGGTCATCTATCTCRTGCGCAACTAAGCTGAAGGATCTGCAAGCAGGAGGCTCTCAGTTCAAACTGAGAGCAACTCGGACTCTTAAAGACAACTACAGTTGGATGTCAACGGCTTCCCAGCTGTGTTTTATGGCTTAAACCAGTGGTTCCCAACCTTTTTAGACTTGTTTACCCCTTGAGCCATGTTGTCATACAGCTAGTACCCCTTCAGTCAAACGTAAGGATGATTCTCACTGAAGGAACTGTCCGAGGTCCTGAAAGTGCTGGAATATTTCAGGACTTTAGACCAGTGGTTCCCAACATTTTAGACTTGTGTACCCCTGAGCCATGTTGTCATACCACTACTACCACTTCAGTCAAACGTAATGATGATTCTCCGAAACTATAATGTACAACTGATTATGAAAGAAAGTTATTTATTTAACCCCATAGAACGTTTAATTCTCAGGCATTTTATTTTTTTTTACTCAAATTAAACATAAAGATAAAAACATTGCCTTGAAAGTGAATAAGTAATTAAATAAATAAAACAGGTAATGGCAGGTGCAGAAAACAGCAGCGTCCAAAATACGTCAGAAACTCATCCAAACTAGCAAATTCTGTGAGATTCCATATTGTGTTAATTCRGTGATTCCGTCTGC